GTGGATTTCCTTCTATATTAATAATTCTGAGTAAAAATCTAAATTTCAATCTGATGAAAGTAATTCAATGAGAGCTTAAGTTTAGCAAGGTATATGATTTTCGCCACAATTTTATCATAAATCACTTAATTTCATTACATATTTATATATTATTAGTTGACGCACACGTGCGTTACACATGAATAATTTTAAATATCAACATTGCTATTACTATTTTGACTATAAATTTTCAACTAAAACTTTTTTTTAAAATGTTTTTCTATACCACAAACAGTTTACAAATCTTGAATAAAATTGTATTTATTATGCTGCTACTCCTACTATTCAGGAGTGCTTGTATTGTTCCTCTATTATATGTTTCATAAGGGTCAAATTTTCTGTTTAATTGCAAACTATTACATTTTTTTTATTATCTCATTTTAACTTCAGCGTTCCACTTCATCATATTTTGATTTTTTAAATATCAAGTGAATTTAGTTATATATAAAAAGTTATTCAATACCGAAAGAATTAGCTAAGAGAAGGTTGGATTTAGTATATTGTTGTAGATAATAACTTATGAAAAACATAAATATGTACATGCTACATATTTCTCTAGACTAAGTAACTTATTTGAAAAGAAAAACTACTAAACACAACGTTTAATGGTGCACAATTTTATCATCCATACCAAAAAAAAAAAACAAAAAAGAATTAGAGAGGCATTTTTACCAGAGTTTCCCTAATGCACGCTCCAAACTTGGCATCTATACAGTGACACTCAAGAGAAAGCATAAAGTTTAACTTTAGTATGCATTTTAATATAATTGGATATCCCATAGCCTTTGGTATCTAGTACTTTAAAGCATCTTCAATAGTTGAGCCGTTATTCATACATCAATAACTATGAATGCGAGAAGGTGCACTAAAATTTGCCTGAGGGCAAGTGTGCAAAAAGTATATTCAAGTATATATAAAACCAACAACAGGATCAGTGGCGGAGCCACCGTTGGCTTAGGACGGACACAAGCCGACCCTCAAAAAAATTTTCTCGGCATTATCTATGTATATTTTAAATATTTCTTAAACATATTTAAATATACCCACCCTACTTTTTTCTTATGATGTGCATTAGAATAGACTCATAATTAAATAACTATTGTCTGTTAGACATGCTTTGGATATATTCGGATTGATATTCTACTCAAAAAAAAAATTAGACTAAAAAACACATTACTTATTGTGACTTTGACATTGATTTTATCGATTGTAATTTTTAGTATAAATAAAATACTTTCAACTATAAAAATTATAAAAACTCAATTACGTAACCAAAATAGTGATGATACTATGACTAATAGTATACTAATATAAATAAAAAGAAGACATTCTCGGTGGTATTTATAGCGAAGATATTGTGCAATGCTCTTAAATGATAAAAAAAAGCATTATTATTAACCTCATATTTTTTTGTAAAATGTTAAAATTATTATAATTAACCTCATATTTTTTTGTAAAATATTAAAATTAATCTTTTTTGTTTTGTCTTGTTTATGCATTTTTGGCCCTATTATGTTGAATGGTTTTATTTTGTGTCAAAAATAATTTCAATAAATATAAATATATCATTATACTTAGCAAAAAAAAAAAAAAATGCCCACTCAAGATTAATTTCCCGGCTCTGAGAAATATCTCAAACGAGCATGATATCAGAAATTGATTTCACCGGTTCAATGTCATTCCTCAAACCCTGTTCCTTCTGAATAGTAGGACTTGTGATATTCAAAGTGGAATTTATAATATCAACTACAACTTTCCAAATTTAAGAAAATTTTGGATAATCGGCCGTACCAAATTAAATAGTAAAAAAACAGAAAATGATTTGACATATCATATATACATTTCTTGTGTGTATATGGCAACTTTCCATTAAATTATATTTTTTATTGTGGCCTATTACATAATGGGCCAAGATCCATGACTCAGCTCATATTATAAGTTCAATCTGAATTAAGAGTCCAACTTGAAGAGATTTAATGGGTCCAGTCCACACCCAGTCAAGCTCATCAAGGCCCGAGGAACTACATCATAAAAGGGAGATAGGGTCATTCCAAGAGTCTCATTCTTATCACCTTGGAGTAAGGGTCATCTTAAGAGTCTCATCCAAGCCACCTTAGAGTAAGGGTCATCTCAAGAGCCTCATCCTAGCCACCTTGGAGTAAGGGTCATCCCAAGAACCTCATCCTAATTACCTTAGAAAAAAGATTATCCAAAAGTCTCATCTTAACTACCTTAGAGTAAGGGTCATCCAAGAGTTTCATCTAAGCCACCTTAGAGTAAGAGTCATCCTAAGAGTCTCATCCTAGCCACCTTGGAGAAAGAGTCGTCCAAGAGTCTCATCCACGCCGCCTTGAAAGAATTCAACTGCCATGTCATCCTTTGATCAGATCTTATGGGGAGCGCTATAATTGACTCATCTGTTGAGAAGATGGCGCTAGCTTCGTCAAATTAGTCTTTTAGTTACTGATAGAGGCGATTATAAATTGTAAGCTCTACTAACACTTGGGGGGCATCACACACAATCGAACACATCTACTACTTTCTCCTATCTCTCATAGCTTGTATCCCCCTACTCTCACTACACACCTTGAAGTAATAAAATATTCAAGCGACCCTAGCCCTTCAAAGTGGACATAGGTCATGTTGACCAAACTACTATAAATCCTTGTCTTGCTTGTTTTTTTCTCTCTCTCTACTTAATTACTACATTAATTATTAGTCACTTGATAGTTGGTATGTAAAGCCAATTTGTGCACCATCAGTTTGACGCTGTCTGTGGGAATCTACAAAATTCTCACCTAATCATTTTTTCTTGTTGTGCCCATGACAATTACCAATCTATGAATCAGTCCGAAAGAAATTCACCACGAGAGGAGGAGGTTGCCCCTCCACCAACCAATTCTATTACGAATGCATAGCAGATGCTGGAAATAATGTAGCACCTCTTGACTCAGGATCAACAGATTCTGCAACTTATGCTTGCTGGACAACAAGGAGGCATACAACCTGGAAGGCATCAAACAAGAGGAGTTCCACGCCCTGGGCGTCACGGAGCTCCCCACTTGGGTCCCCCTCGTCAGAACCATGAAAGAGCTCCAGCTCCTCTTCCAGCTCCCATTTTTCTTGGTGGAGACCCTTATTTTTCAAGAGAATGAGGGCAAGAATCAAAGTGTGGAGTATGTGAGTCATTTCCATGACAATTCCAAAAGAGCCCCAAATCATGAGGACAAAAAAAATCAAGGAACTACAGAATCAACTGGGTGACATTTTCAACACCATGAAGGTGCAAGGACCAGAAATTGTTAAGTACCTCATAAGACACACTGACACACCTTTTGTAGCTGGTGCGGCAAATTACCCATTTCCTCTGAAATTCAGAATATCATCGGTGAAAGCGATTGATGGCACAAAATACTCACTAGATTACCTCGACACCTATAAGTCTTTGATGCAACTGCACAATATTCTTGACAAAATCATGTGCAAAGCCTTCCTAACTACCCTAAAGGGATCTTCCCGATAGTGGTTCCTCAAGCTTATCCCGGCATTCATAGGCTTCTTCGCCGAACTAAGTAGATCCTTTGTGACACATTTCATTGGTGGACACTATCACCAAAAGCCTACCACCCATTTGTTCAACATAAAACAAGATCGAGGTAAGAATATAAGGAGTTACCTCACTCGTTTTAACAAGGAGGTCCTCAAGATTGAGGAGTTCGATGACAAGGTCACCACGACCACCTTTTTGAGAGGTCTTCGTTCATCAAGCTTCCTCTTTTCAGTGATGAAGCGCCCATCAAAGAACATCGCAGAACTATTGGCAAAAGCTCAAAAATATATGAATGCTGAAAACATCAATAGGTCTAGGCAAGGTGAATTATCTTGTAGGTCGCCAAAAGCTTGACTTATCTCTACTCTGCTCTCAAGCAGGCAATCTATGTTTCCAACTGAGTGGTTCTCTCGTGGGTTGTCAAAATCTTGACCTATCTCTACTTTGCTCTTAAATAGGAAGGCTATATCTCCAATTAAGCGACTTTCTCGCGGGTTGCCAAAATCTTGGCCTATCTATTCTTTGCTCTCAAGCAGGCAACCCATATGTCCAGCTAAGCAGCTCTCTCACGGGTCGGCAAAAGCTTGACATCTGCTCTACTCTGCTCTAAAGTAGACAACCTATATCTCCAGTTGAGCGGCTCTCTTGATGGTCATCAAAAGCTTGATCTATCTTTGCTCTACACTTAAGTAGGCAACCTATATCTCCAACTGAGCAGTTCTCTTGCGAGTCGCCAAAAGCTTGGTCTCTACTCTGCTTTCAAGCAGACAACCTATACCTCCAGCTTAGTAGTTCTTTCATGGGTCGTTAATAACTAGATCGCAAAAGGTGCAACTCTCTCACAAGCAACCCTCAAATTCTGTCTTTGTTATCATGCGAGTAGCCTCACAGTCAGCCTACCTCCAGTTTAGCGACTCTCTCACAGATCACCAAAAACTCGATCTAAAGAGGTATAACTCACTCACGAGCAATCCTCAAACACTGTATTTGCTCTCACACAAGCAACCCTCATTTCCCTCCAAGTAATCATGTTAGATATTTTGATGCTCGAATAACATTATTTTTACCATCTCTAGACATAGTTTTGAAACTCAAGCTGTCTATAACCCGCGAGACTACATTAGATTGAATGTCAACAATTGGGCCTCACAACTCCATGCTCAATCTTAACCACTGCGCCTGTTTTGCCTAGCATTGAAAAATTTGCGCTCAGCGTCACCTGATCACACCCAAGCCTAGATGGAACAGCTCGCACACCCATCTGGCAGTGCCTAGAGCTGGACGATGCCACTAGTGTGCGAGCCTGACTACGCCAAACATTTGGCGAGGCTCCCCGCAGGCTCCACTACCTGTGCCACTCTACCTCAAACAACAGTAACACCTTCCCTCGTTGTCTATGACACCTCTCCTGTTACGCCTGATGACCACGACGCCTTGCTTGCGGCGCCCGATGACCCTTGCACCTCACCATTAGCGCCCCCGACCCACTCACTAATGCACGGCGCCTATGACATGTAGTCCTTGGCATCGACCCATAACGCCTTCGCCTCCCTTCGCCGCGCCTCATCCTCAACGTTCTTTCGACAATGGTAGCGTCCTGCTAGCAGTACTCGAGACACCCCACAATCATGGACACCCACAGGGTCTCACCCATGGAACCTTCTCTCCTTCTTGCAGCTTAGGCATCCCATGTGAATCAGACCAGCATCGACTGTGGAGTCTTTGGGCTCGCCTTCACCACCACGGTGCCCAAACTCCTCCTTCGGTCACCACTACACCAACAAGCTCCTGACGCCCTACCTCAATGTCTATCATTCCATCACCATGGATATCAATTAGTTCTCCTCCTTCGCTTGATAATGACTTCTGAACACCCAGAACAAAAACTTTACTCTCACTCATCCAACTTGGGTTCTCAAAGTGTCTTAAGAAAGGAATCCCCTATTAAAGCAAAAGGAGTTTATATATCAGGAAGGAAGGAAAAGAGTCCTCAATCAAGAGAAGTCTTTGACAACCAAAATCTAGGTAATGCCCTATTCTCCAAGTTTGATTAGACATAGGGCATTGGGGGGCAAATGATGGGGCAGGTCCAAGGACCCAACTCATGTTATAAGCCCAGTCTGGATTAAGAACCCAACTTTAAGAGATCCAATGGGTATAGCCCAATGAGGTCCACCCCAATCAAGCTCATTAGGGTTCGAGGAACTACATTATAAAGGTAGACAAGGTCATCCCAAGAGCCTTATCCTTGTTACCTTAGAGTAAGGGTCATCTCAAGAGCCTCATTCAAGCCACTTTAGAGTAAGGGTCATCTTAAGAGTTTCATCTAGCCACCTTGGAGTAAGGGTCATCTAAGAGCCTCATCTAAACCACCTTGGAGTAAGAGTCATCCCAAGAGCCTCATCCTAACCACCTTGGAGTAAGGGTCATCCAAGAGTCTCATCCACGCCACCTTGGAAGAAGTCAACCACCACGTCATCTTTTGACTGGATCTTATTGGGAGCACCGTAATTGATTCATCTGTTCAGAAGATGGTGTCAACTCCACCAAATTAGCCTTTTAGTTACTGATAGAGATGACTATAAATTGTAAGCCCTATCAACACTTGGGGGGCATCACATATAATCGAGCACATCTGTTATTTTCTCCTATCTCTTATAGCTTGTATCTCTCTGCTCTCACTAGACACCTTGAAGTAATAAAATAGCCAGGCAACTCTAGCTCTTCAAAGTAGACGTAGATCACGTTGACCGAACCACTAAATTTTTGTCTTACTTGTGTTTCTCTCTCTCTCTCTACTTAATTACTACATTAATTATTAGCCATTTGACAGGTGGTGTGTAAAGTCAATTTGTACATCATCACTACATATAGGGCTCGTTTGGTTGCCATATCAGAAAATGGATAGATTAGATAAAGTAACTCAGTCTAATACAATACGAAAGGATAAAAGACAAGAATAAATAGGGTATTAGAATAATATGTAATTTTATCTAATATTTGACAATATAGAACATAAACGTTGGATAGTAGTTATTTAATCCAATCGGTTGTTTGGTTAGAAAATTATTTTATCGTATTAATGTTGAATTAACAAAAATACCCTAAATCAGTGTTTGTTACATTGATGACAATATGATTTTATCAATTTGGGGGGTTATAATAGTAAATGTGTAGAATAATACGTTTGAGTTGGATTATAATACCACCTCTCTTTGTGGTATTAAAATACCTCTATTATACAGACCTATCGTATAAAAATATATAATAAGTATACGATTAGTATACATTTTTGAAATTAATACGGTATCAAATTTACTTACCAAATAAAATATTAGGCTCAATTAAATAATAAATAGTACAATCTAATATTTAATCCCTTTATAATACGTCTACCAAACGAGTCTATAAGGTATAATTCACCAAGCTATTCACTCGCAAATTGTATTTTTTTCTAATTTGTCTTTGATGCTAACAAGATTTGCTAGATGGAATAGAATTTTTTATATTACAGAGTTATGCTCTAATTTGACTTATTGGCATCCAGTTGCCTAATCTTGTGCTATGGGATTTTTTAATTCTTTTCTCATCTTCTTTTCCTTACAACTTCTATGTGGTATTTATTGTGTAATTAATAACTACCAAATCGTTAGAAAAAAAAAAAACTAATTAAATAGAACACCTAACTGTGATAGATTGAGTGGGACTAAATCCGAAGTGGATGGACATTCTTTTTTTAACATTTCATACAATCTTTATATAATGTGTGTAATAAATCAGATAGGAGATTTGCCTATATTGCATATCATACAATCTTTTTTCTCTATTGCATCTTTCTTAGAGCATAAATACAAACAAAATCAAAGGGAATTATATGATTGGTGCAGAAAATTCGAGAATGAATCTGAAAAGAATCCAACTTTGTCTTCAATTCAATGATACATAGCATAAAGTAGGGGTGCAACTTGGGTTGGGCAACCCGATTTCAACCAGAGCCCAACCCAAAAAAAATTAAGGCTTGAGCAAGAGTTTTTAATACTTTGGTTGGACTTAGGTCAAAAAATCTCAACCCGAATTCAATTTGGGTTGGGCTCAGGTTCACGGGTTCAATCCGAACCCGACAAATTAAAATATATATATATATATATATATATAACACATTAGCACTGATTTTTCATTTTTGTTCTATCGTTCTTTGTCTCTCTCGTTTATTTTCATTTTTGTTCTAGCATTAGTACTGTTAAAAATTTGGTTGAAGTTATTGGTTGTTAATTTATGTGAATATTATGTAATATATGTATTAAATTTAGAACAACAAGTCTATTTTGGACTCTACCCTAACTCAACCTGAATTGAACCCGTAAAATAACTCGAAATCATTAACCCGAATTCAACTCGAGCCCGCCTAAATTAAACTCGGGTAGATTAAACTGTGACTCTTTGTTTTCCAAGCATGAACACCTTTAATGGAAACAATTTTAAGATGAAAACTCAACAGGCACTTGAATCTAAGAGGCTTAATCGGCATTAGTTATTTTATTAAGGTTATTATAGTCAATCACAAAGAGAGTGAAAATTGAGTTTTGCTGGGGAAGAAAAAACCAGCAGGTGTGTCTACCGAGCAGAAGCTCTTTCTGTAAATTCTTTCATAGTTTACTGTGCGGTTTTTCTTGCTGAAAAATCAGATTGGTCTTTTCCTTTGTATTGCTTGATATTGTGATCATTCTTGATGAAAAAGGGAAGTGTTTCTTGAGCGAAATTAGTGTGGTAGTGTAGCAAATTTTTGTTCTCTGTAATTACTTGATTTTATGTTCCTTTGGTGATCTATTTTGCTTTCAATTCCCAACACTACATTGTTCAAAAATTCGAACAAGTGTTCCGTGGAAGTCATATTTACCAACTTGTGGACATTCTTCCCTTCTTGAGAATTGAACATCAGGAGTCCACTCAGGAACCTTACCGTTACAGATGGAAGGTTATTGGTATCCTTATTTGAATCATTTCATTCCCATCTCTAGTGCAATCTTTATTGTATCCAAGAGCTCAAATTAATCTTTCCATTGCAGAATATGCTAGAACATGATCAACTTTTGGTCCAATCCACCATCTTTGGTTAGTTCAAAACCATCGATAGAATTTTTTGGTGTAAGTTGGTTAAGGTTGCGTTTGAGATAACTTATAAAATTTTAAAAGTACTACTTAAATAAGTAGTTCTCAAAAGTACTTTTTTTATAAAGTACTTTCACTAAATAAATACTGGTTGGATGCTCAAACAAAAAAGCACTAATCTTTGCATATCTAACAGAATTTTTGTGATTTTTCACTTTGACTCTCTCTCTAGGAAAATTTTATACGTGATCATGTATTTAATAAGTTTAGTTGTACTTAATAGGCTGAAATTTGGATTTTTTTTAATTTGATTTGGTTGAATTGGCTTATGTTTCACATGCAGGCACATACATGAGGAACCTTTTCATTCAAGCCATATTCTTATTTCTCGATATTCATCTAACTTAGAATAATTTCATTTGATATCAATGCTTATTGAGATTTTAATTTAAGTTTTTACAGACAATGCCAAATTGATAATGTACAAATTGGTTTTATGCACCACCTGTCGAGTGATTAGTATGATTAATAAAATACAGTAAATATGATGAAGAACTCAACACAAGCAATACACATAAATAGAGTGGTTTGGTCAGGATGATCTTCTTTACTTTGAAAGGCTTTCGTTGTCGAAGTGTTTTTTTTTGTTGTAAGACTATGGAGAGCTCAGGTGAAAGCAATGAAAGCTTAGGTGAGTCAAGTGTGAGAAAAGATGTAAGATCCCTCCCCCTATTTGTAGTTGGGGCTTTCAATTTATAGGAGCACTCCTAAAAGATTGAGGCGCCATATTCGTAACAGATAGGCTAATTCGGTGGAGGTAGCATCACTCTCGCAACGGACAGGATAGTTCATGGAGATCTTTTTATCAGTTGCAGACTAGATTTTAAGATGGTGTGGCTGAGGTTCTAGGATGACATGACTGACTCATTGACTCTTGGATGACGTGATTGACTCATTGACTCTAGGATGGCGTGGCTGAGGCTTTATGATGGCGTTACTGACTCATTGATTCTAAGATGACGTGACTCCAAGATGGCGTAGCTGACTCATTGGCTTCAGGATGGCGTAACTGACTCCTTGGCTTCAGGATGGTGTGGCTGACTCCTTGGCTCCAAGATGACGTGGCTGACTGTACTCCCTTAACTCCGTGATAAGTCGAGTTGGGTCTCATATGGGTTAGGGCCTTTGGGCTTTGTTTGAGCCGGGCCCATTAGTTGAGCTAGGCCTTGTTCGAGCTGGCCTAACTATCCAAGTCGAGCCTTGTATGGTCCGGGCCTATTACTTAAGTTGGTCCTCGTTTGGGTCGAGCCCATCAGAGGTTATTCCTTAAATTCTTTTATGTCATTCTTAAACTTAATTCTCTCTTCTCTACATCCCCCTCTTCCAACATGCACTCAAGACATTGAACTAAAGACGATGAACTTGGAGACAGTGAAATAAAAAAATTGAACTAAAAACACTCTCTCCCTTTTTTTTTTTGAATCGATTGTTTGATATGTGAAATTTGGTTTAGATTTGATTTTGTTTCATAAAATATTTGAAAGATCTTTATTTAGATTGACGAATTTTGGATGAACTTATTGGTTCGATTTTGTGAACTAAAGATAGTAAATTCAAAAACAATTAACTTAAACAGTGAACTAAAAATAATATTTTTTTTTCTCATTTTATGAATGTATGTTTTGTTATATACTGTGGATGTATTGTGGGTGTAAATAATGGAGTACTTATTCAATTAGTTATTTATAATCATCTCTTTGGGAAACCAAAATTTCAAGTAAAACACAAATGGT